GAACTTTCTTCAAGCATTGAGAAAAGAATTCAGTATCACTGTTAGTGTAGCACACCATTACTTGGGTCTGGAAATTAACACCCAAACTAGTGGACAAATAAAAATTTCTCAGGAAGCTTATGCAAGGAAACTTTTGAAACGTTTCAACTTTGAAAACTGTGCACCTGTATCTACGCCTATGGAGAAATGTTCCTCATTAAGGAAAGTTCATCAGATGCAGAACAGTGAGGAGCAGAAGATGTCAGTAAACTTCCCATATAGGCAGGCGGTTGGAGCACTTATGTATTTAATGATTGGTAGCAGGCCATACCTGGCTTACAGCATAGGCGTTCTTTCCAGATGTCTTGAAAATCCATCAAATGAAGATGTTATCAAGCTGAAAAGGGTACTACGTTATATTAAAGGCACCTTGTCTTATGGTATAGTTTATAATTCCAATGTAAACACAAACAGTTTAGAATGTTACAGCGACGCAGATCTCGGTGGATGTGAGAAAACTGCTCGTTCCACCTCAGGAGCAGTTGTACTCTTTGCTGGAGGAACGATTTCATGGAAAAGTCGTAGGCAATGTAGTGTGGCCATATCAAGTACTGAAGCTGAGCTTGTTGCAGCATCTGAAGCTACTAGAGAGGTTCTCTGGTTAAGCAGACTCTTCAAGGAAATCGCCAATGTAAATGAGGTTCATATTCTGCAGGTCGACAACGATGCAGCAATAAGACTGGCCCAAGATCCAACACTCCATGGTCGCACAAAACATATAGAGAGAAGACACTTCTTTATTCGTGAAAAAGTTGAAGAAAGGAAAATTAATGTAAAATATGTTCCTACTCAACATCAAGTAGCCAATGTTATGACAAAACCCTTGTCTAAAGAACAGTTAAAATTGTTTTGTGAAAGATTGGGTTTAATTTGTTAGAACATTACAAGTGTTGTAATTAATGAGACTTTCATTTTATGAATTATGTTAATTCCATGTTCAATGTCAAATTAACAAGGGAAAGTGTTAATTTGTTCAGTTGGTAGCACAGTGTTCACCTTCTGATAGTTTAGGTTGGCTGTATGTGCAGCCTCCATGTTTTTCTGTAATGTATAAAAGACACTGTCCTTTGTTCTTCCGCCCACTCTGTAGTAATTCGTTCTACTGGACTCCAGATTGCTCTAGCCAAGTTTGCTACTGCACGTGTTATATTGTAACCATAATGTAAGTAAGTAAAAGGCAGAAGCGTAACGATTACTATGACGTGTATTGTGTGTGTGATCATTAACTGAAACTACAGAGATCAAATTTCTGGCGAATAACTTATTACTGACAAGAGTACTGTGTGCCCCATGATGGGCACATAGTTATATGTGCTATGGTCAATAAAAAAGAAAACACATATATACTGAAAACACAGTAATGTTATTACAATGGAATCAAACTACACCACTGTGGTACAAGTTAAAAATATTCTCTGCTACTGTATACATGATATATTAATTAAATTTTAACAAACATTCTTATAATATTTACACCAGTACCTACATACAAAATTTTGTTCTGATTAGTAGTCATAAAACAAATATTCCTCCAACATATACCAGCATTAGAACCTGAGAACTGCTTTTATGCAAGAAAAATACACAGAAAATGACCAGCAAAATGATGATGACAGCATTAACTTACACTGCTTCATAAAATGGATGAAGATTTTATAAAACAGAATCTGCATTAAGAAATGTCTTTTCAACGATGCTATAAACATCATATACTGAAGGATTTCAATCACAGTATCATGAAATGTGAGATATTCAAAACCAATGAAATTTCCTGACTTACTGGAACACACACACACACAGAGAATAATAAATATCTGTTAATTATATAATATCCAACAACAGCTGATCAAGAAATGCAGTTCTTACAAAGGATATTATTTCTTGATGATTCATTACTCCAGCTATAAAAGAAGTTATACCATTGGTTTACATACAGAAATTTACAAGACAACAGCACACTTGGCTTTGAATAATATATTAAAGTGTTCCAAAATATATGGGAAGTTTCAATTACTGGATGGGTAGGTAGAGCAGGTGAGAGAAAAGCATGTGACTTTATTCAAGATGCCAGGAGAAATAAATCTTAAGATTATATCCATTATATCTCGAAGATCCTGCATCTGTAACGAAGTTATCAGAACGACTCTTTGACATCTTTTACAATCTTCACTTAGATGTAAAAATCTTTGTATACTGAACTTCACACAACATTTTGTGGCTCAGTAAACTTTCATTCTGCAATGCTGTGTGCATGACTATGCATATATACACTAAAATCATACTCTGGAATATTCACTTGTGCTATCAGCTTCTTTGCTTCTGTAATTACAGAACTGGCCTTAGCTTGTGCTTGTCCCCTCCTCCTGCACTCATGGGTTATTACTATTCCACTCTGTTTAAAAAGCCACAAATTGAGAATGAAGCCCATCTATATAACATTATTAAACTCTTTCAGAGCAAGTCTCTACACTTGCAAAACATCCTATATATATTTTTTTTTATTTGTAATTATGAAGACAAAACACTGCAATCCAGTTTGTTTCTTCACTCATTTAATAAAACTTTCTCAGTTCCATAGGTTGGATGAATCAATGTAATGATTGGAAGAAAATGAAAATGAATGTGGCCATGGCCCGTTTTTAGGTATGCAGAAGCATCTGTCTGAAGGGACTGAGGTCGACTATACAGAACCTGCCACAATGGCCTCCCTCTAGGCCAAGAACTGAACTCAGTGCTCCAGGAATATGAAACATGTGTAATTACCATTCATCTATGAAATTCAATATGTATCAATTCAAAATGGTACACATCAGGCATGGAAGATCAATTTAATAAACTCTGGCATTCAATTAATCTTTTCGCCACCAATATAAACCCAGCGAACAAGAATGAAGCTCTCCTATGAAACACCATTTAAAGATATGAAACAGATGCTTTACCCTCTGTTCACCATATGGTTGGATGTTTTCCAATGGTGGTACTTGATAATCAGCTGGATAGCATACAAATCTTAAGAAACAATTAACGCAGTTATGCAACAACTTTCTTATACTGTAAGCCAAGGCCCATTAATGGCTAACTATAAGCTTATTTCTGCTAACAGAACTATAATAATTTCACACAATTATAAAATCCAATAAAACATATTGTAAGAAACTGTTACAGTATGAACTTCCATTAATGTAACACTGAAATGTTTACAACTGTAAAAATTTACTTCTTGGGGAAAAAAAAACTTTATTTTTTTACCATGGTGGGTGAAGGCTTTTTTTAACTACGTAACTGGTGAGATGCAAGATGCAAAGTCTGATAATCACTGCTTTAATTACCCAAACATGCATCAGACATTGAAGACGTAACTTACAGGTGGAAAGAAAAGAACTGTTAGCAATATTTGAGATCTGAGCTGAAGATAAAGGTTGCCCTCTCCTGTCCTGAAGATGTAGGCAGCAGGTTCCTTTGACTGTAATGGACAAATTTAAAAGGTCATTTAACACTGGATGCCAGATCTCTGATCCATGCAGTGAATACTGACTTAAGAGTCATAACTGAAAGGATGACTTTATACCTTCAAGTTCTAGATACTGTAATGAATAAACCATGCATGGATTATTTGAAACAATTGTATTCTGAATCACTCTTGAGAAGCAACAATGTTCTGACACAAAGTGGGTCAATAACGAAGCCCAGTGTAAAACTGCTGTGCCACTGGACCAAAACCATGGCAATGGATCTCTCCATAAATGATAACCAAAGGCTTTAAAGAATGCTATACATCTAATGCATCTATTAGAAGTTTAGGAGGACCACATATATTGTGGGAAGATGAGAAAGCTGGGAATGCTAGCAGTGAACATGACAGTCTGAGCGGTGAATGTGAGAAAACCAAAGATGACAGACAACAGGAATGCTGGTCATGGTAGGAATGGTGAAAATGAATATAAGCTAGTAACTTCAAGAAGGAAACTAACTTTATAAATGTCATGCATAATACAATTTCTAGTGCTTATTTTCTTTCAGGTCCACAGTCTCTTCCAAACCTGTGGACCTGTCGTATGACAGATTACCGATGAATGAATGAATGAATTTTCTTTCACATTTTCAAATATTTTTTTTTCTTTCATATGTTCGAGATAATAATATGAAATTAAATCATACAATTACTTTTCCAGTGCAGAAGCATTTCACATATTATGTAGAAATCATCTTCCTTTCAGGAAAATACAGCAATACACTTTAGTGCAATGTGAAAAACTGGGTAGTGTTGTAAGTTCCGATTACAGCGGAACAAATTGATGAACAAGAGAAAATTTGTATTCTTGTCTCGATTCTCACAATTTTTCCAAATTTCTGCCTCAATCTCACCTTGACCTGAAAAGTAATTCTTGCATATGCATAATGATATATGCCGAGGAATGAGTCTGGTACTCAAAGTATAACAACAAATGTTCAATAATTTCACATGAACGTTTCTCAATACCTTATTATTTGTTTCAGCATCTTATCTGAGAGGTGTTCCACATATAACACAAAAGTGGATCCAGGTATTCAGATCTTGAGACTAAATACCATGCCAAGGAACTGTTCATAATGAATCGTTATAACTCCATCTTGATCAGTATCATACTGCCGGAAGGCTGAGGTCAATGTCTGTAACAGAGTGGTGATGATACTATTAATTCCTTGAAGAGTATGAACATACTACACACTTCATCTGTTATAGCTAGGACTCTGTATCTGGATACAAAGAAGCTCCCCACTGACAGCCTGGTGGTTTGAGGTAGGACAGCGGCTCTCAGTGCCTTGGCACTGTTAAAATCTACTGCTCAACTCCCCTTGAAGAGATTTAAGATTTTTAAATACCAATTCTATCTCATACTTCATTGCCATTCTGATTCAGAATGGGATAAGAAGAGGAAGACATATTCAATATACACAGTATTACACTGGTGGCNCGAACAAGAATGAAGCTCTCCTATGAAACACCATTTAAAGATATGAAACAGATGCTTTACCCTCTGTTCACCATATGGTTGGATGTTTTCCAATGGTGGTACTTGATAATCAGCTGGATAGCATACAAATCTTAAGAAACAATTAACGCAGTTATGCAACAACTTTCTTATACTGTAAGCCAAGGCCCATTAATGGCTAACTATAAGCTTATTTCTGCTAACAGAACTATAATAATTTCACACAATTATAAAATCCAATAAAACATATTGTAAGAAACTGTTACAGTATGAACTTCCATTAATGTAACACTGAAATGTTTACAACTGTAAAAATTTACTTCTTGGGGAAAAAAAAACTTTATTTTTTTACCATGGTGGGTGAAGGCTTTTTTTAACTACGTAACTGGTGAGATGCAAGATGCAAAGTCTGATAATCACTGCTTTAATTACCCAAACATGCATCAGACATTGAAGACGTAACTTACAGGTGGAAAGAAAAGAACTGTTAGCAATATTTGAGATCTGAGCTGAAGATAAAGGTTGCCCTCTCCTGTCCTGAAGATGTAGGCAGCAGGTTCCTTTGACTGTAATGGACAAATTTAAAAGGTCATTTAACACTGGATGCCAGATCTCTGATCCATGCAGTGAATACTGACTTAAGAGTCATAACTGAAAGGATGACTTTATACCTTCAAGTTCTAGATGCTGTAATGAATAAACCATGCATGGATTATTTGAAACAATTGTATTCTGAATCACTCTTGAGAAGCAACAATGTTCTGACACAAAGTGAGTCAATAACGAAGCCCAGTGTAAATCTGCTGTGCCACTGGACCAAAACCATGGCAATGGATCTCTCCATAAATGATAACCAAAGGCTTTAAAGAATGCTATACATCTAATGCATCTATTGGAAGTTTAGGAGGACCACATATATTGTGGGAAGACGAGAAAGCTGGGAATGCTAGCAGTGAACATGACAGTCTGAGCGGTGAATGTGAGAAAACCAAAGATGACAGACAACAGGAATGCTGGTCATGGTAGGAATGGTGAAAATGAATATAAGCTAGTAACTTCAAGAAGGAAACTAACTTTATAAATGTCATGCATAATACAATTTCTAGTGCTTATTTTCTTTCAGGTCCACAGTCTCTTCCAAACCTGTGGACCTGTCGTATGACAGATTACCGATGAATGAATGAATGAATTTTCTTTCACATTTTCAAATATTTTTTTTTCTTTCATATGTTCGAGATAATAATATGAAATTAAATCATACAATTACTTTTCCAGTGCAGAAGCATTTCACATATTATGTAGAAATCATCTTCCATTCAGGAAAATACAGCAATACACTTTAGTGCAATGTGAAAAACTGGGTAGTGTTGTAAGTTCCGATTACAGCGGAACAAATTGATGAACAAGAGAAAATTTGTATTCTTGTCTCGATTCTCACAATTTTTCCAAATTTTTGCCTCAATCTCACCTTGACCTGAAAAGTAATTCTTGCATATGCATAATGATATATGCCGAGGAATGAGTCTGGTACTCAAAGTATAACAACAAATGTTCAATAATTTCACATGAACGTTTCTCAATACCTTATTATTTGTTTCAGCATCTTATCTGAGAGGTGTTCCACATATAACACAAAAGTGGATCCAGGTATTCAGATCTTGAGACTAAATACCATGCCAAGGAACTGTTCATAATGAATCGTTATAACTCCATCTTGATCAGTATCATACTGCCGGAAGGCTGAGGTCAATGTCTGTAACAGAGTGGTGATGATACTATTAATTCCTTGAAGAGTATGAACATACTACACACTTCATCTGTTATAGCTAGGACTCTGTATCTGGATACAAAGAAGCTCCCCACTGACAGCCTGGTGGTTTGGGGTAGGACAGCGGCTCTCAGTGCCTTGGCACTGTTAAAATCTACTGCTCAACTCCCCTTGAAGAGATTTAAGATTTTTAAATACCAATTCTATCTCATACTTCATTGCCATTCTGCATCTTTATACAAACCTGTATTGAGTCAATTCAGAATGGGATAAGAAGAGTAAGACATATTCAATATACACAGTATTATACTAGTGGAGCAAGTGAGTTTACACATGAATAGTGAGTATTTTAGACACCTAAAAGGTAAAGTTATTAGTGTAACAGGAAGTGAAGGCCCATAGGGTTGTGAGACGTCAGGGCTCCACATTTTCTCTAGACAATCAGCTCATAGATGGCGGTATGGTCGNTTACTTTTGACTTAGGTAAATATGTAGCAGAATACACTTATATGGTTTTCAATTAAAGGTTTTCACTTTAACATTCAAATCCACTGTCTCATACAAAAACAGAGTGTGGTGGCTTCGGTAAATATGTTATAAATTAATATGCTTTTCACAGTTCCATGAAAGCTCAGGAAAATGAATTGAATCACAAGAGTAGCCAACTTAGATGATTTCACTGTCATGATTTTGAACTGTAATGCAGGATCTTACATATGGTGTAACCAACTTACATAGAGTACAATGCAACACTGAATGAAGTCATCAAAGTAAATGATGCCTCTTCCAGAGCGATCATATTTTCGAACAAGCATATCAATGACACTATCACTGAGCCTGTAGCCAAATGAAGTAAGTGCGGTCTTGAATTCATTGCGATCGATGTTGCCCGAGTTGTCAAAATCAAATGAACGAAAGCAGCCTTGCCAGTCTGTGACATATTTCCACAATGCACCAAAATCTTCGAAGCTCACTGTTCCTCTATTCTGCTTGTCGAACATTCCTAAAATCCACACAAAATAAATTACAAACTTAGCAATACCAACATTACATTATACCACCAAGTGTAACTGGTAATGCTAATATCAGGTGTCCGGATGAAAGGTATCCAAAATCCAAAAGGTATCCAGTTAAGGTCATCAGAAAGGAAAACCCTGTAAGCTGTTTTTTCCATGCCTGGCTTACACACATGCACCGTCACATTTCTGCCACCATGTTAGGAATCACTTGGACAGAGAGATGGCTGGAAGATAGATCAGCAGAAGTGGATCAATCAGTTGGCCTCCTAGGTTGCCAGATTTAAGCCTACTGAATTTTTTCTTGTGGGGTTATGTGAAGAACTTTGTCTACCACGTTAAGATCAACGTCCTGCAACACTTGAAAGCCCACATAAGGTTCGCTGTGGCTATGGTAACACCAAACATGCTGGATCGTCTGGATATTTGTCATGGCACCAGGGAAGCCCACGTTGAAATTTATTGAGAAAGTTATTTACTCAGAAAAACTTGATAGTTTCCCTTTGTAGTGGTGTAACCCATAAATTTACATAATAACAATTCTGTGAGATATAATTATTTTATTTTGAATACATTTCATCCAGACATCCTGTATATCAGTAGCAGGATGAGCACATTTACACTCAGTTTAAAATTCACCAGCTTACTTCCTATCATTCTGTAAAAGCAAGAAGCTTTCATCACCATGGCGCCACTGTTGCTACAGTAATATGGAACTTTTCAAGGTAAATCTTTTCTCAAGTGAACCCAACGAATCCTTATTCAAATTATTTCAGCCCTGTCTTTAGCTTACTTTCATCACAAATTTTTCTAGAGATCCAGCTGAAAGGAAGTGTGCTGTGTATGATGTAACCTTGACAGATGTGGCATATAATTTTGTATGGAATTTAACAGGAACCGATATTCCTAAGTAATTATTATAATCAGCATCATAACTGGTTTCATAAACAATAAAATATTCCTTCTCCTGCTGTCACAATTCTTCCTTATTCCAAAAATAATCAATGAACTTGTGGAACTCGGAACATAGGTGATGTTTTACCTCCTTCCTGTACCCTTTCTATCATTACTTGATCTACACCTGGTGCCTTATGCCCTTCAACTTTTCAACACTAACTCCAGTCTCTAAAACCAAGGCTCACATACCAGTGGCTCAAGTGTATGTACCTCAGTCTGCCTAACATCGTAACCCCACGTACATTTAATGGCTGTCTTAAATAATTTTTCCACATATTCAAAAAAAAGTGTAGGAATCTGCAAATACATTACCATTCTCTTCTATTATGAAGTCAGTTCTAGGTTATTCCCCCTTAAATTCATTAACCTTTAAACAAGTCCCTATTACAACATCAATACTAGTTTAAATATTTAGAAAAAATGTTCAGCCCATTACACAAAAAGATGACTGAAAACACTGACTTTCAGCAGTCCAAAATAACCTTGCCTAATGTAACATCAGAGACATGCATACTAAGCATAAAACCATAACTAAATAGAAGTTTTATTCCATAACCCACATATATTACAAATAATTCTTACTTCTTATTTAACTTTGGTAACATATTTACCAATCATAAGCCGAACTGTCTCTGGATTAAATGGGGTCCATGTTCCATTTGACAGTGCCACCTGCAACTCATCAGCTGATATGTACCCACTCCTGTCCCTGTCAACTCTGGAACAATGAAGTCATACTGAATATCCCTGATGTTGTGCCGTACTCTCTAGGGTCAAGTTGTGGCCAGTGACTGTCAACAAGCTAACATGAATGCAGCTGATATTCTCCTATGACTGCAATACAATATCTTACAGAGCACCTTAGCTTGTACTTTCATGCTGTTTATCCTCATCATCAAAACATACAATTCACTGGTAGATATGCACCTTAGACAAGCTTGCCAGCATGGCTACAGAAGCATAATGGCTGAAAAAGGCACCATATTATATTTTACTTACATAAATAATTAGCACATGATTGCATTTCATGGAGTGAAACTGTTACTGATTACTACAAGCTGATGTTTACTTCAAACTCTTCATTCAGTCACCACATAGCAAAACACAACATGATTACATATTGGTGACAGTAATGTGATATAACCAGCAACTCAAAAGAAAATAGGCATTAAGTGTTTGATATACATTAGTTTCCTCTTTCCACACACTGGTTAAATTCAATGCAGAACATAGTAGGACCATCATGATGCATTTATTTTCATATTCAAATGGAGAATTTTACATTGTTCCATATTAATGATGGAACTACATAAGAGACAGTGTGCAATTCTGTATATATTTCTTACCAACAGTCAACACAATTAAAAACAAACTAAAGCATTCAGCAGCTGATGGACTTGAGAAACTTATTTTTAAAACTGTGAGTCTTCTCAAAGAAGGAATCTTTTTTCTCATGGAGTGAGATAGAGTCCACTTGGTAGTGTGGCCACGGTTTTGCCTACTCCACCAGCCGCAGATGATAGATGACTATGGAGCAATTGCTGCAATTTGAAATGGCAAGGGGGAAATTGAAGTACTCAAAGAAAACCTGCCCCAGTTCCACTTTGTCTGACACAGATCCCACATAACCTGACCTGGGTGGGATGCTGGCAACTAGCAGCCTGCTAGCCTGAACTATTGCATGGCCTACAAAGAAAGTAACTCATACTTAATTTCAGATTCTATATTTTAGTCAAATTAATATAATCCGAAGTTCTTCTGTAGATTTTATTACATGAAAAGCTTCAAAACAATTTCTCTTCGCAGTTCAGTAATAAAGATATTACACAACTGAGCTCTTCCACCGGCAAATTATTTTCTTGCACAACTCAAGAAACTATAACCTAAAAAAGGCTCCGTTTTAAGTAATGAATGTTAAGAAAGAGCACTTCAGCAGTTCTTCATAGTATGTCGAAAACTCTCTTTAAAAAAAATACATATAATGCTCACAGTTCTGGGCGTTATTTTTTCCGTTACACTTTACATTGCTTTATATACTGCATTTATTTAAAAATAAGCCACTATTTGTAATATTTCATACTTTATTATTAATAAAAATATTACTTAAAATATCAATCCGTCCTTAAATTACCAACTTAACCTGCAAACATTTTATTCAATGGTCCGTGATTTGGCACTAAATGACGCAATTAGTGGCATTTCAACGAATTCTTGTACCTTGAAAATATATCCCACAAAAACTCTCGACTTGGCATTGGCGATGAAAAATGTGCCATGTTTTATTCACGTTGCAGCAATCACACGACAGTAACCGTAAACCAATCAGTAAATAATCTGACTTCTTATTTATCCACCATACGAACTTCCAACCTTCAAACACACATCATCGCTCCTCCTACTCTTCGTATAACACATGTTGATGAGATCACACACAATATTGCCAACCTAAGTGATACAAATTCTCCCCTAGTTTCATACATTTCCTCGCAAAGGATGACGTGACAGGAAACACGTTTAGATGGAAATGTTGGAAACGGAGGAGTACGTTCATCTGAAACGTTGGTGCCCACCATGGAGCAGTGTATTGACGTACCAGACCAGACTGCAAACCACAGTAGTTACCGGTTGTTACTCATGCGGTGACATTGCAGATCGTGCAGATGTTGACGACATAAAATCATGAAGTCTTTTATAGAATCCGAAGTTACATTACCATGATCACAAGAGGCCCCAACTAGTAACTATCTTGAGCCATGTAAATCCAGCCCGCATCCTCATAACTAATTTCACATACATTTTAATAATGTCCTCTCACCTACACCCAAGTCTCCCAAATGGTTTCTTCCCTTCAGGTTTTCAGACCGGAGTGTTGCACACATTTATCTTCTCGCCTATGTGTTGCATGACCTGTCCATCACTCCTTGGTTTGATCACCCCATTGCAATTGCAATTTGGAGAATAGTGTAAATTATGAAATTCCCAATCATCCCCCTGGTAGTTTCTCTCTTCAAGGCCCAAATATTCTTCTCAGCACTCCGTTCTCTCTTACCCTTCATTTAGAACGAGAGACAAAGTTCTACGCCGATACAAGACAACAGGAATTCCTGTCTCATGTATCTCGGAAGGTCACTTATACCTTCAGTAGGCAACTTTGCGAAAGTGTCCAGTATGTTCAGCAGGATCTCCTGCAAGGAAATTGTTATTAATCATACTGTAGCTTTGTATATTAGTTTAATCGTCCCTTAAAACATTATGTCATCTTTGGAAAGTATAAATTACACTTTTGTACCTATATCTCCGGAATATCTGTGTTCCCTCTGCAGACACCGTGAGGGAAACATATGGTTCTTCTGTCCCTGCAGATGGAGTTTTGCAGTGAAATGAAAACTGAATTGTCCTGGACATGCTCATTCACTCGGGGACCATGGGGAAGTAGCACCTAGACCACCTAGTATGTTACCGAGGATCTCATTGTAATACACTTATCTGGTTGCCAGCTGCGACATGTTTTCGGTTTTATCACCATTTTACAAACAACTTCTATACAGATGGGCCACGTGTGACAGGAGTATTGTAGCAACATTAATCTTTCCAAGATGGCATTGTGTGATAGGAGTGTTGCGGGGAAGAGAGATATACGGGACACACAATGTAAGAGGACAACACATATTTAGGACACATTCAAATCTAAGGCAGACGAAGTGACAAAAAAGTGGGGAAAATAGGAGGTTCTTATTTTACATTCTTCATTTGATATTATGTAATTTATCCATAGTCCTTTCTGAGAGACTCATCTGGTGAAGAAATTGCCCCCGGATTTTCCGGAACACGAAGGTTCATCACCGTACAAAAGACCACTGTTGTATCTTAGTCTGATCCGATGCAATACAGTCAAAATTATAATATCATATTTCTCCAGGGTGCATTTTAATATTATCCTCTAATCAGCATCTTCATTTCCCAGGTGGTTGTGGTTTTCCGATGTAATCGTGCCCTTACAATCTCCATTATACGTGCTACAACCGAATTTTATCAGGGTTATCAAATCCTGCAAACGGGATCGTCTAAGAATCCGCCGAAAATCGCTTGACCAGTCAAACGGTGTCGGAAGTCCTCTGCTGGCTATACAAGCATTCCTTTCCTCTCTGAAAAATGTCAGCCTGAAAACTAGAACCTGAAACCGCATATCTCCTTCTCCTACTCAACGCACCTACGGAATGTTCGGGAGGAACATTTAAACCTAACATCGATTTCATCTAGTTTCTCTTACTGACCACAAGACGTTATGATCGATTTGATTTACGTAGTTCTTTCTTGTCCAGTAACGAACCTGCTCTGTCTATATATATGAACGATTGTGCGAATAGTTGTTTCCTACTTGGAACTGTAACGTCTTGAAATTTATGCCAGAATTTTCTCCTTTGCACATGGTGCTGCGCATTGAAGTCTCTTCGTTGTGTAACTCTCTAGTGTCATTTCGACACAAGAAGTAAGGCGACCGACTAGTCTTGAAATTGTAGGTGACAGGCACATAACAAAGAAGTTCGCTTTACGGTAACTGCTCAAATACTTCGGCGCTACTGAAGGAAACTGTACTGTGCAGAGCAGGCATGTCCAACACGTCGATCGCGGGACGATTTTTGGTCGATCTCATAGGCCTATAAGGAAATTATACGTGAACAGCATGTAAATTCACTTGTAATATAAAATAAGAAATAGATCATAGCTACTATTCAAGATCTTTAATTATCAAGAAACACCACTGTGAGGCGAATAGAAATGATGTGTGGATATTTCCAATTGTGTTGCTGTCTCCCTCCAACTGGATGAATCTACAGACATCAGAGACACAGCCCAGTTACTAGTTGCTTTTACAACAAACACCATGTGTCGTGTTATTTTTACCAATACTTTTGCTTCAAGCGAGGTATGACGATAGGAGGGGGTGGTAGATCACTGGCAGTTTTGACACTAAAAAGTCGATCACAACCTATTTTGAAGTTGGACATGTCTGGTGTGGAGGTTACTGACTGTCGACCACGCTTCGAGTTCAAACGAGTGCAGTACGTGATGACCCGAGCAGCGTGTGTCCTTGCCGCTCGACTGACCGATGGATTGGCGGCAGGTTCGTTTCGTTTACAGAATATGTCTTCTTTGGATGAAAGTTTTAAATTTGCTCTAATAATAATGCTTCGCTTTTTATGCCAGAGCCCTGCTAACTGAACATAACAGCTTTCCGCACTGTGGCCCGGTTTTGTTTGTTAACGAACGTGGCCATTTCAGTACGCTTAAAAATGTTCATCTGTTTGGTCCACTGTGCTATTGTGGTGAAACGAAGTATGCCTATATAGAGAACAACTAACTGCCAATAAATCAGAGGCCTACAAGTGGATAGTATAGTACTCCACCACATATTGCAACGCTGTTGCAGACCAAGTAATAATAACTAGTCTTGGTATTAGAGATAAGTGCCTTCGGTACATTTGTTCGGATCGAGCGACAGACAATCGCATGGTGTCTTTATCAACACGGACAAACTTCCATTCACCAAGCTGGATTCGAGCCCGTGTTTCCAGAATTCAAACGGACTGTTGACGCTGAAATCAGCTAATGTTCGTGATGTATGTGTATACCTTATCATGGCTGCTGTTAAATTGTAGCCTAAGATCTTTTGTGTAGATCGGAACAGTTGCTGATGCCGGAGCTGCTTGTGTTTGTGACATGTGGCACTCTCGCACTGTGACCAGGCGTCGTCTGTACAGTACACTGTTCATTTATCAGGACCAGCAAACAAACTACATCTACCAGGAGGGTTGGAGATTGCGTCTCGAAACTTATAGTCATGGTCCCCCTCATCAGCGATGATGAGCGGAGGCAGACTGGTGACTGGAAGATACGGTTAGAAGGAAGGGTGAATATGGAAATTATTCATAAGCATATTTATACTTCTAAGATTTGAGGTTTTCACTGCGGTGCCTATGAAGAAAGCAGTCTTCTGGGATGTGGCGCCCTGTAGATATTGTGTTAACCGACGCTTCGGAGGAACGCATCGCCTCCATCTTCAGGGTAGAAGAAAAAAGAGAAGAAAATCAGCAAGCGAGGCGATACGTTCCTCAGAAACGTCGGTTAACACAATATCTACACGGCGCCACATCTAAGGAGACTGTTTTCTTCATATTTATACGTATATTTATCATTACTCTTCGAAAATCGGAAATCTGTTCGTTGTAGAGCATTTTTTGAGACATTTCATTTAGCTGAATAAATGTACGTGTATGAATGCCCATGAAAATCGTGTAATGCAAATGAGAGCAAAATACAATGTTAAAGTTCGTTAATGTACTCATATATGTTCCAATTGTTTTGTTGCTGCATGTGACAAGCAACGATTTTAACCACTAGCGTGCAATACATGTCGATTCCGCTTTTCGCCATAGGCAGGTTTACTTACAACTGGTAGTCCCCTAGTGCGAGATACGCCACACGTGAATCGAGATATGTAGCGCTTGTGAAGACAGTGATGAACCTTCGGTTTTGGTGAAAGGCAGGGCATGTACCGATTAGCTGAGTTTCTCAAGAAGGACTCTGATCCATGGAGTCATGCGTCAAGACATGTAACAGTTAAGACACGATGTCTGCGACATGACGCGAAGAAAGGGGTACAGTTGAAACGAATGAGATTAAGAAAACCACCGCACACCCGTCTGAGTCGTGATGTTGACGTCAGCTTCATGATGACGAATCACGAATGAAGCAAGACTGAGTCTTTTGTCTCATTTCTTGATGCTTGTCTTGACGCAGTTGGTGTGTTGCCGCCCTAAATGTCTTACACACACACACACACACCATCAAGAAACAAATACGCGACCGTAACACAGGCGTCACATCACAAGGCCTTTTAATTTTTAAATATTAAGAACAATTAAAATAATTAATTTTTACATGCCGGAAGGTCGCATGTTCGAGTCCTGATGGGTTGGATTTTTTTAATTGAACTAATCCATCATTTCACACTATGGCCCTCGGGTCGACTCAGTCTCTAGTAGAAATGAGTACGAGGAATTTTCCTGGAGGGGAGGGGGGAGTAACGGGCGGTCGGCGCGTTAGGCCGACAACCTCACCGCCATCTGTGAGCCGATTTTCTAGTGAAAATGTGGGAGCCTCGACGTCTCACAAACCTATGGGCCTTCACAGCCTGTTACAGGGACCTTTACCTTTTAAAGAAAGAATATAGTACGTAGCTTACGATCAGTCTGCCAGCAGTGTAACAATTAACATGTAACATCACACCTGAAGATGGTCCCGGCGAGACCGAAACGTGTCGTATAGTAGTGGAAGAATGACATAAGATAGGAGTGGTTACACCAAGAACCGCACAGAAAGCTGTACTCGCACCGCTATACACAGCTCTATTCACACAAC